TTATCAATGACCCACCACACTGATAATTGGCTTATCAATGACCCATCACAGTATTAATTGGCTTATCAATAACCCACCACACTCATAATTGGCTTATCAATAACCCACCACACTGATAATTGGCTTATCAATAACCCACCACACTCATAATTGGCTTATCGATGACCCACCACACTGATAATTGGGTTATCAATAACCCACCACACTGATAACTGGTTTATCAATAACCCACCACACTGATAATTGGCTTATCGATGACCCACCACACTGATAATTGGGTTATCAATGACCCATCACACTATTAATTGGTTTATCAATGACCCATGGCATTGTTTCTTGCCTTATCAATGACCTATCCCATTGCTAATTGGTCTATCAGTTATTGCTTTATTAATTACATTAATTGCCCTGTTGCTTTATCAATTACCCCCTCCCATCACTATCAAACTGCTCACCTTGTTATCAGTTTGATAACTTATCAATTATCAACTCAGGTCGTTAATGAGCTGTTTTGTCAGTTGCTGAATCACATTTCATTAATTACCCAGCACTTCATTAATTACCCAATCACACTGTTGGTGGTTTTATCAGTTATCAGTTTTATTGATTATCAAGCCACACCACTACTGCTGGCAGAGGCTTCCACCAGCTCTATCAGGTCAAATAATGTTAATTATCAAATCAAATAATAATTAAATAATATAATTCCCATCGGGTTTCAAGGTGACGTCATCGAATAGTTTCATTGATAAGCGTTAATTAATTAAACCCCACTGTTATAAAATATCTTTATGGGTTGTTACCAAGTTTTGTCGATCATCAAGGTGGCTTTATCAATTATCAAATCCCGTTAAACAGGCGTTTTTATCAGTTAATCAGCCAGCTGGGTGTCACCTGCTCGTTGTGTTAATTACCTAATCGCGTCGTGATCCGACTGCTCTTACCAATCCACGGTTTCCACAGCCTGGCTCCTCCTCTGGGAACTGGAAGCTGCTCCATGCTGGGTCCCTTTCCTGGAGTCCCTTTTCCTGGGATCCCTCTCCCAGGATCCCTCTCTGGAATCCCTCTCTGGGATCCCTTTCTGGGGTCCCTTTCCAGGGTCCCTCAAGGTCCTGGGATCCCTCTCCCAGGGTCCCTGTCCCAGGATCCCTCTCTTGAGGTCCCTCTCCAGGGTCCCTCTCTGGGATCCCTCTCCCAGATCCCTCTCTTGAGGTCCCTTTCCCAGGATCCCTCTCTGGAATTCCTCTCTGGGATCCCTTTCTGGGGTCCCTTTCCCAGGATCCTTCTCCGGGATCTCCAGGATCCCTCTCTGGGATCCCTTTCCAGGGTCCCTCTCCCAGGATCCCTTTCCAGGGTCCCTCAAAGTCCTGGGATCCCTGTCTGGGGTCCCTGTCCCAGGATCCCTGTCTGGGGTCCCTGTCCTGGGTCCCTCCCGCAGGATCCCTGTCTGGGATCCCTCTCCTGGGCTCCCTGTCCCAGGATCCCTTTCTTGGGGTCCCTGTCCCAGGATCCCTGTCTGGGGTCCCTGTCCTGGGTCCCTGTCCCAGAATCCCTATCTGGGATCCCTCTCCCAGGGTCCCTGTCCCAGGATCCCTGTCTGGGGTCCCTCCCCAGGATCCCTCTCCTGGGGTCCCTGTCCCAGATCCCTGTCTGGGGTTTCTATCCCAGATCCCTGTCAGGGTCCCTGTCCCAGATCCCTTTCCTGGGGTCCCTGTCCCAGATCCCTGTCTGGGGTTTCTATCCCAGATCCCTGTCAGGGTTCCTGTCCCAGATCCCTTTCCTGGGGTCCCTGTCCCAGATCCCTGTCAGGGGTTTCTATCCCAGATCCCTGTCAGGGTGTCTGTCCCAGATCCCTCTTTGGGGTCCCTGTCCCAGATCCCTGTCAGGGTGTCTGTCCCAGATCCCTCTTTGGGGTCCCTGTCCCAGATCCCTGTCAGGGTGTCTGTCCCAGATCCCTGTCAGGGGTTCCTGTCCCAGATCCCTGTCTGGGGTTTCTATCCCAGATCCCTGTCAGGGTCCCTGTCCCAGATCCCTGTCCCAGATCCCTCTTTGGGGTCCCTGTCCTAGATCCCTGTCAGGGGTTTCTATCCCAGAGCCCTGTCAGGGTTCCTGTCCCAGATCCCTCTCCTGGGGTCCCTGTCCCAGATCCCTGTCAGGGGTTTCTATCCCAGATCCCTGTCAGGGTTCCTGTCCCAGATCCCTCTCCTGGGGTCCCTGTCCCAGATCCCTGTCTGGGGTTTCTATCCCAGATCCCTGTCAGGGTCCCTGTCCCAGATCCCTGTCCCAGGATCCCTCTTTGGAGTCCCTGTCCCAGGATCCCTGTCCCAGCTCCCTGTCCCAGGATCCCTGTCCCAGGATCCCTCTTTGGGATCCCTGTCCCAGCTCCCTGTCCCAGCTCCCTGTCCCAGATCCCTGTCCCAGCTCCCTGTCCCAGATCCCTCTTTGGGATCCCTGTCCCAGATCCCTGTCAGGATCCCTGTCCCAGCTCCCTGTCCCAGCTCCCTGTCCCAGCTCCCTGTCCCAGGATCCCTATCCCAGCTCCCCGTGTGGGTCCCCCCATGCCGTGGGGTCCCCTGGGCCGTGCCCTCTCCCTCCCTCACCCCGCCCTTGCCTTTCGCAGCCGCTGGAGCTGCTGTGCGAGAAATCCATCGGGACGGCGAACCGGCCGATGGGCGCGGGCGAGGCGCTGCGCCGGGTGCTGGAGTGCCTGGCCTCGGGCATCGTCATGCCAGGTGGGTGAGCATGGAGGGGAGCCCCCTCTCGGTGTCCCCAGAGCCACCTCAGCCCCGTAGGGAACAGAGAGGGACCGGGCGCCCGCTCGGCTCCCGGAGAGAGGGGTCGGGAGCAGCTTCCCCCACCCCCACCCTGGAGAGGAGCCCCTCCCTCACCCCACCAGGGACTTGAGTTCAGTTGCCTTTAGAGACCCTCCCCGGGATAATCCTCTGCATATCTTCCTTGTTTCCTGCCTTCAGATGGTTCTGGTATTTATGACCCTTGTGAAAAAGAAGCCACTGATGCTATTGGGCATCTAGACAGACAACAAAGGGAAGATATCACACAGAGTGCTCAGGTATAGTGTGACCTCACAGACCTTTCCGCAACTCAACTCCCTCCCCACACCCCCCGGCCCACCCGCCGCTCCCGGCCCCGCTGGCACACGTAGGCTAGAGCTGTGCCCCACAGCCGTGTCCCAGAGCTGTGTCCCAGAGCTGTACCCCACAGCCGTGCCCCAGAACTGTGTCCCAGAGCCATGTCCTAGAGCTGTGCCCTAGAGCTGTGCCCCAGAACCGTGTCCCAGAGCTGTGCCCCACAGCTGTGCCCCAGAGCTGTGTCCCAGAGCTGTGTCCCACAGCCGTGTCCCAGAGCTGTGTCCCAGAGCTGTGTCCTAGAGCCGTGTCCCAGAACCGTGTCCCAGAGCTGTGTCCCAGAGCCATGTCCTAGAGCCATAGAGCTGTACCCCAGAACCGTGTCCCAGAGCTGTGTCCTAGAGCCATAGAGCTGTACCCCACAGCCGTGTCCCACAGCCATGTCCTAGAGCCGTGTCCCAGAACTGTGCCCCACAGCCGTGTCCTAGAACGGTGTCCCAGAGCCATGTCCTAGAGCTGTGTCCCAGAGCCGTGTCCCAGAGCCATGTCCTAGAGCTGTGTCCTAGAGCTGTGTCCCAGAGCTGTGTTCCAGAGCTGTGTCCTAGAGCCATAGAGCCGTGTCCCAGAACTGTGCCCCAGAGCCATATCCTAGAGCTGTAGAGCCGTGTCCCACAGCCGTGTCCCACAGCCGTGTCCTAGAGCCATAGAGCCGTGTCCCACGGCCATGTCCCACAGCCATGTCCTAGAGCCGTAGAACCATGTCCCAGAGCCGTGTCCTAGAGCCGTGTCCTAGAGCCGTGTCCTAGAGCCATAGAGCCATGTCCCAGAACTGTGTCCCAGAGCTGTGCCCCAGAGCCATATCCTAGAGCCGTAGAGCTGTGTCCCAGAGCCGTGTCCTAGAGCCGTGTCCTAGAGCCGTGTCCCAGAGACGTGTCCCAGAGCCATAGAGCCATGTCCCACAGCCATGTCCCAGAACCGTGTCCTAGAGCTGTGTCCCACGGCTGGGTCCTAGAGCCATAAAGCCATGTCCTAGAGCCACGTCCTAGAGCCACGTCCTAGAGCCATAAAGCCATGTCCTAGAGCCGTGTCCCACAGCCGTGTCCCACAGCCGTGTCCCAGAGCCGTGCCCCAGAGCTGGGTCCCAGAGCCGGGTCCCAGAGCCGGGTCCTAGAGCCATAAAGCCATGTCCTAGAGCCGTGTCCCAGAGCCATAAAGCCATGTCCTAGAGCCGTGTCCCAGAGCCATAAAGCCATGTCCTAGAGCCGTGTCCCAGAGCCATAAAGCCATGTCCTAGAGCCGTGTCCCAGAGCCGTGTCCCAGAGCCGTGTCCCAGAGCCATAAAGCCGTGTCCTAGAGCCGTGTCCCACAGCCGTGTCCCAGAGCCGTGTCCTAGAACCGTGTCCCATGGCCGTGTCCCACAGCCGTGTCCTAGAGCCGTGTCCACGGCCAAGCTCCCTGGGGTGGTGCCCACCTTGGCCCACCAGAGCAAAGAATCAGGTGTCGAGGAGTGACTTTTTCCCCCCCCACCCCCCCACCCCCCCCATCCTCCATTTTGGGGTGAAACCACCAGAAAACAGTCCATGCAGAGAGTCCCGGCTGAGGACTGAGGGTCGGTGTGTGTGTGTGGGGTGGGGGGTGGGTGGGCGGTGACACCCCCTCCCCCCAGGGTGACACACCCCCACCCCCACGGGTGACACCCCCGTGCCGTCCCCAGCACGCGCTGCGGCTCGCCGCCTTCGGCCAGCTCCACAAGGTCCTGGGCATGGACCCCCTGCCCTCCAAAATGCCCAAGAAGCCAAAGAACGAGAACCCGGTGGATTATACTGGTATGTACTGGGGAGGGGAGGGAGGGGGTGGCCCCCAAATCACCCTCCTGGGGGTCCTGTGGGGGCAACCAGGGCGCTGAGGGGGCTGGTTGTGCTGATTCCTCCCCCCCAAAAACAGTCCAGATCCCGCCCAGCACCACCTACGCCGTGACCCCCATGAAGAGGCCGATGGAGGAGGACGGGGAGGAGAAATCCCCCAGCAAAAAGAAGAAGAAGATCCAGAAGAAAGGTACTGGGGGGGGTTTAATTAGGGGCGGGGGGTGTAAATAGGGGGGTAGGGGGTTGATGAAATAATTTGGAAGCGGGAGGTTTGTGCCGGGGGGGAAACTGAGAGCCAGGAGGAGAAGGTCGGGGGTTTTGTCTGGAATTGGGGTGTGGGATCAGCAAATGCTGGTCAGGGCTGGTCTGAAATGGGAAAATACTGGTTAGGATTGGTCTGGAGTTGGGAAAGACTGATGGGAGCTGGTCTGAGATAAGAAAATCCTG